GTTGGTCTGTCAGTTGTACGGTGTATTTCGCGTACTCGTCTTGTATCGCCTGCTCGGTGTGTTCTTTGGTGTACAGTGTGGAGTAGTAATTTTGAAATGCGTGAGCAATTGTGTGTGAGTCTGTGTGTTGCCTTGTGCGTCTATGATTTTTTCTATGTATCTGTTTTTCTGTATAGATTGTTCTAATGTTAAGTACTGTTGTGTGGGTTTTTCGTCTGGTATGTCTGTGAATCTTGTGCGTATTTGTGCCCCTCTGTATCTGTGTTGTCTAATTTCCTCTAGATCTAGTTCTGTTTGTAATTCCAAGTTCTGTGGTTCTTGTAGTGTTCCTTCTTCTTCTGTTGTTTTTAGTGTTTGTTCTAGTGAGTGTTCTCGGTGTCGTCTGCGTGTGTTGATTCTCTTGGCCATGATGATACTGTTTTGATTGCGTCTTTCATCACGTCCCAGGACTCGCGAGTGTTGTTGGTGGGGAGTGGTTGTGTGTAGAGAGTGATAGTGTTTGTGGCTGCTTGTACAAAATCTTCATTTTCTAGTAAACTGTTGTTGAATTTCCAATGAGGTGATGGTTTTTTTTTGTGTGTGTACTTCGGGTCCTATCGTCACTAAAACTAAAACTGCTTTGTGGTCTGTGAATTGGAGTGTGCTGTTTATGTGTGTGCACTGTGTGACTTTGAGTGTTTGGTCTGTGTAGATTCTATCTATTCTGGCTGCTCTGTTATAGAATGTGTGTCGGTGTGTCGGGTTTGTTGCATTGTTCTTGTGTACCTCCCTGTAGCTGTCCTTTAATTTGTGTGTGTCTATGATGTTCTGTAGTTCTCTTCTGCCCAGTCTGTTTTTTCCTATGTCTGTACCCACTATATCCCTCTCTTCTAGTGTTATGTTGAAATCCCCCCCTATTATAAGTTTGTGTTTTGTTGAGGCTAGTGTTGCGGCTAGTGTGTCGTAAAACGTGGGTCGTGTGTGTGCTTGTGCTGGCGCGTATATGTTGGCAAGTAGTCCGAGAGCCGGGTCTATATAAAGTACTAGAACCTTGTTTTTCATCATAAAGTTTTTTTCTTTGGTGATTCTGCTTCCTTGGGGTCTCTAGACTTCATATCAGTCGGGGGCCAACTTGTATCTTATGGGCATAATTTTTTCTGCTGGTTGAAATACACCAACCCGTTTCATGCAAGAATGGTGGCCGGGAGACTAGGGCTGGGCAATGAGTCGCTTTAGCAAAATCCGGATAATATGTTAGTACACCTCTTCGGCAAATAATACTATGTTATGAACTGCTTCGGCAAAAGCTCTTACATAAACGGGTTACCATCACTTCATCAACAAATGGGTACACTCACTTCGGCAAACGGGTCAGTAAAGAGAGTTTAGAGTCTGAATTCAGATTATATTTCATTGAGAATTATCCGGTTATCCGGATGAACTATCCGGATTTTGCCCACCTCTACCATGTACGAGTCGACCAAGATTCGCGCGAGGGTACTCGGCTTCATGCTTACAGCTCCTCTCGCCGTGATGTCACAAGATGCACCGAACAACGAATGTAGGAAAACGCTACGTAACTACGAGGATGTGATGCGACCAGGCTAGTTCATGCAACATACACATGCACACACACAATGTCTTACTCAATGACTTTTAAACACAAACTGGTGGGATAAAGAACCCACCCCTGATCAAATCGAGACGGATTAGTAGTTTCCTGGAAGCAAGCCAGCAACGAGATGGTAGACTCAGTCAGAGACTTCGAGACGATGCTGAGTTTATACTGTGTCACAAGAACTGTATGAGCACACATTGTTCCAGAGACCACGTTCAGCGATGTTTACAAAAGGGAAAGACTGAGGAACTTTCTGAAGAAGAACCCAAACGTCATAGGAGCAGTACTAGTTCGTTTAATTTTCATGAACATTGTTTTTTTGTGGAGAAGCATGCTCACTGATACCCCCTAAAAACACCCAGATCGTTGGAAAAAGGCAACTTATGCCGAACTGGAGAGGAGAAAGGTAGGATCACCAAAGAACTACTACAAAAAACGTGCCAAGGAACGTGGGGACAAATGGAGAACGGATTTCAGCTTCCGTGTCTCATCAACAGTCAGTGATTTGCATGCAGCAGACGCTAGGTATCACAGAGACTGCTACTCCCGCTTCTACACAAATAATCCAACACAATCAACTAGACAATGTCTTCAGTATGCTGGTTGACGAGATTCGATTAAATAAATCACGCAAGTGGAGTAGTGTGGAAGTCCATGAACGTTATATTGAACTTGGAGGGAAAGACAAATCGCGACGTACACTCCTGAACTATGTATCTCAGAAGCTACACCCCGAATTGCCGATCATGTCCTCATCAGGTGTGGCTTCCATCCTCGTCTTCAGGAGCAGGGCTTCAGCCTAGATGCGTATTGTGGATGATGGAAAAGACTGCAATAGACGAGCCATATCATGCTTGGTTAGCGTGACCAAAGTAGAATGTCCAAAGCCCAATCGCCATACCTACCCAACTTGTCTGCCTAGGAGATTTGTCATGAATGAGTGCTGCCCAACTTTGCTATTGCTCCTTGCAGCCACAGACCCCAAACTGGATTCTACACTGCCAGCAGCAATGATTAGCCACACTGTTTCGAGTACAGTCAGCAGCTATTTCACAAACTTGCAACTTGGACTTTGAGTCCTGTTGAGTCGACAGAGGAAATTCATAGACGAGCTTCACACGTATGAAGTCACCACCTCATATGACGAACTGGGGCGCTTTCGATGTTCAGCTACTGTTGCTATGACATGTGTTCCACAAGGACTGGCCTACTTTGACAGTAAAAAATGGACTTGTTTAAGTTGTAGCTGACAACTTTGATACGCAGATATCCAAATGGCCAGAAATCAACGCATGGCTTAGCAATGATACAGGCACAAGCCAACAAGCGGAAGTGAGAGCAGGTGTGGGAAATACAAGATATTCCCACCATCAGGCGTCTCAGCAAAGCAGACACCAAGTCCGATAATCTGACAGTTGGTGACGTTGCAGTTCAACAGTACGCAGGAAACATGAAACCACTTATGCCGGAAGAACTGTGCCTGTGACATGTCTCATCTCTGGCCTTTCTTGCCGCACGACAGGTTTCTCTGAACAGAACTGCAACTGAAGAACTGTCATTTTTGAAACAGGCACTTGGCGAAGGTGCAAGACCTGAGTATGGAGGTTATAACACACAACGTGCACTCAGTGCAGGACATCAACCCCAACCAAAGACATATGTGGTGTATAGCCCATTCCTGGACATGATCCCATCTGAGCCAGACACCGTGAAGACAGTAGTTGTTGAAGCCAAGGGTCTGACACAGCTGACGGGTCAGGGATGGCCAATATTCACCAGTGACTACCAGCTGTACAATGAACTTGTCCACATCACATGGGTTGACAAGGAACAGTTTCAGAAGCTCATCCCAAGACTTGCTGGTATTCACATGATGAGGAGTTTTGTTGTGGGATACCTGATGGCCTGATGGGAGGAAGTGGCATTGAAGACATACTTGGCTCAGCATTTGTGGGGGTGCCAAAAATGTTGATCCGTAAAAAGTACCCACAAAATGTAAAAGCATTGAGACTTCTTGTTGTGGAGTTACTGCGACCCATTCTCCCCAACACTGACGTGTACACCATGGCTGCACTCACGCAATGTCTCGTCACCAAAAGTACCCAGAGTAAAACCACAAGACTTGGGGTTGAGTGCCTCATTGACCCAGTGATCATTATGATGGCCTTTGTTCGGGTTGAGCGAGAAGTTGACTGGACTCTTCACTTGTTTGCTGTTGAAAAGATGCCCCCCCCCCCTACTTCTTTGCGTCTTGACACGTCAACTATTCTCGCTACGGTCTGTACTATCTCCGATCCATGCAGCGCCTGCATCCAGACGTCCTTGATGAAATACTTTAAGTAATATTGTAGTCTATATATAAATACACACACACACACATACACATATGTATATAATATATATATATATATATATATATATATATATCACACACACACACACACACACACACACACACACACACACACACATATATATATATATATAAATATATACATGTGTGTGTGTGTGTGTGTGTGTGTGTGTGTGTGTGTGTGTGTGTGTGTGTGTGTGTGTGTGTGTGTGTGTGTGTGTGTGTATGTCGCCCTCTGCCACGCGGCAGAACTTATCCAAGCGAGGTCGTGATTTCAATGCGACGATTTTAAGTAAAATTGAAGTGTATTGCGGATCAGCATATTTATGAAAACTATATGGCGCCATCTTGTTTTCTTTGAAGTTGCCATTTTATCGAATATTTGATGTGTTTTTCATCAAGTGTAGTTACTTTTGTCACACTGAATGCTATTTAATTAAGTTTGTACATTTTTGTGCCTTTAAATGCATGATATCCCTCACAACATCTTTCACTCGAAATTCTATGGCATTCATCTTGGATTTTCACTTTTAGACAAAAATCCTCAAAGTTTAGCATTTCGCCCCCATTAGATTTGAAATCAGCAATGAAAACTCAGTTAGAATCACCAAAGAAAAAAACTATGACGCAAAACAAGCTTTTTCATTTGGCGCTCGGACTAAAGTGTGTATGTAGATCTATCTGTGTTGCTTGTGATGGTGGCTATTGTGTATCGGCCTGTTGTGTTGTCTGCTGTGTGTTCTGTAATTGTGTATTTGTCGGAAGTTTGGAGGATAGCTGTTCCGCGACAGTAGGGGCCCAGGCCGAACACCCCCTTTGATAGGCCCAGCTGGTGTGTTAGTTTTTGTGTTGTGTATCTGTCGCGGATGTTTGTTTCTTGTAAAAGGAGAAAGTCTGGTTTGTGTGTGTATATGAGATTTTTAAGTTGGGGCAACTTACCACGCATCCCTCTTGTGTTCAAGGAAAACACTCTCACTCCTGCCATCCTGTTTTCTATAAGAAGAAAAAAGAGGGAATAATAGTTGAAAATGTGTCATTGAAGTGTCATTTTCAGTGTCGTCTGGGTGAGGGGTTTGTCCGTCGGCTGGAAAGATTTTTCTTTTTCTTCTTTTCTGTTCTTTGGTCGTTTATATTTTGAGTAACTGTGTCGAGAGAGTTCTGTCGTTTTAGGGGGAGGTTTGATTTTTTTGGTTTCGTTAGTCTGTCCTGTTCAGGGTCGGTGTCTATCGTCAGTCGTCTTCCACTACTGTCGCTTTCACTGTCGCTTTCACTGTCGCTGTCACATATGGGGTTATTTTCCGCCTCCTCGGCCCAGTTCGGGATTTGGGACAGTTTGGTCATACTTTCCTCGAGGGGGGGAAGGGGTGTTATAGAAGGCGGGAGGAGGGTCCTTGTCTGCGTCTTTGTAGGGGGCTGGGTCTTTTTGGGGGTCTTGACGGGAGATTTGTGTTGGTCGATGGAGGCGGTGTTTGGGGTGGCAGAGGCAGTCAGGCTGACGGTGGGCTTGCTTGCTGGTGTCGGGGTGTCGGTGGTTGGAGCGTTGGTGGTGTCGGTGTTGGTGGTCACAGTGGTGGCAGGGGTGTCGGCTGTCGTTGCTTGTGGCGGTCTTGTGGTGGTAGGGCCAGGGGCGAAGGCTGTCTTGTTTGACAGGGTAATCAAAGTGAAACGGGACCAGATATGGCCTGTAGATATCACACAATAATCTTACTCGAGGCGGCGACTCTGAGTTGTGAATGAAAACAAATCCGGAATTCATATTGTATGTTCAACAGCCAAAATAATCGGGAAAGTATCTTATTAAATGTCAGTTCCAATTAAAATTTAATTTAACTTTAGATGTGAATACATTAACACAAAGCAAAGAAGCAGATATGTCAGCACTAGATCTATATGTTATAGATCTACCAGTAAGTCTAACTCTTTGGTAGAACATGGCAATTATCATTTTTTAAATTTCACATTTGGCTGTTTTTGTTAGCCTTTCGCGGCCAGGAGGCGGTGTCATAATCGAGGTCACGATCTGATTATAGGACGGTAAAAAGTCGAGGAAAAAAAACAAGCACACGCAGCAGTCAAGAGATTATTAGGAGTTAGTTCCCCTCACATTTGTGAGATAGACTCGACCAGTGTTAGTTAGCATACATAATCAGGGCTTGAGATTGATTATAACTGTGGCCCCAAAGGGGTGAACAGAGTATATGTGGAAATGAAACAGCTTGGATTGCTATGTACATGTTCCCTTCAACTATGTTGGTAGACTCTTCCAGACTCACTTTAAGCTTACTTAATCAAAGCTTGCGACTGCTTGTGGAGTGGCCCGAGAGGGGTGAGGAGGCTATTTCCGTGGCCGTGAAACCGTTTTGAATGTTAGGCATACTGTTCATTGTTGATTACGAACGTCTTTTTACATTTAATTTAAGAGGTTTACGTTTAAGGATGAATTTGACAGCGACAATGTTTCAAAATTAGGAAGGGAAGCAGTGATTATTTGATTATATAGACGCTTCGCCCCTGGGTGGGGCGTCGTCCTTTCAGTAGGTCAGCGTATGTCGAGGGTTCCGTGGTGGTGGGGGCGGTCTTGGTGGCGGGAGTGTCGTCGTTGTTGTCGGTTCTGCGGGCCGGACATTTATTTGAGTAATGGCAAAGATAGTAGGCCTACAGCCTACGGTAAGATGTTGCAGTGGCCCAATTTTGTGAGGCACGTCGACTCCTAGCGCCACTAGCGGTGAGCGTGCGGCAGTATGTAAACAAACACGGCGAGAGACTCGCAACGCTCTATGCTGTCTGCATTACTGGCCAGTTTTGTTCAGCGATCGGCGGTTCTAATTCCAGAGAAAAAACGAAATAATTGTCTTTCTTCAGATTCCCAAAGGACGAAAAATGGAAAGACGAAAAATGGAAAGACAATGTGAAATTGATTTTTTAATCTAGAATCTAGATTAGAGTTGAACTAGAGAGATCCTGTAAGCTTTGTTTACAATCTGCATGTATCACGTGTCCATGACTATGACCAATGCTTTGTACTCTGTACTTTGTTGTGTGAGGGCCCTTTCCATTAGGTGTAGAACTAGATTTTAGATGCAAATGTATATATATATATATAGCTATATTATGTTTTCTGTGTTGTAGGTTATTATGTAATTTGTTCTTTAGCACAACACACAGAGATCAGTATTTTGCATATTAACTTGTAACTTTTTATGAAAGTCTATCAGGTCAAATTCAATTCAATTCTCTATCTCCACACATACTCATACATACATGTACGCACGCACGCACGCACGCACACACACACACACACACACACACACACACACACACACACATACACACACACACACACACGCACACACACACAAACACACACACACACACACACACACACACACACACACACACACCATATGTCCTGACCACTTCTGTACATTAATTTTATCATCATCACGGCCACCATCACATCATCATCATTAAACCATCTTTATGCACATCACAAAAACCACCCCCACAACCATCCAGTGGGGGTGGGTGGACTAATATTTGGGTGGGGCTTAAGTTGGTTCCACTTTTTTATTACAAAAAATCAAGCACTAAGAGCTCAACAGTAATTATTTTTCTATACTCACGGTGAGCCACGGCATGTTAAGAAACATTTAAACGGGGAGAATCAACTTTCCATCTCTTTATTCTAAGTTAACTCTAGATTCTCCTGGATGGCGGGGACGAAACCGTTTCACCTCCAAATTTTTTCTAACTAATTTTCTTCTGATGAAAAAGTAGCCTTAGAAGTAGTTCGCCGTGATTTATAACACTTAAATCTCAGGGGCGCACACAGCACCTCAAGCATATTATTATTTCGTCTTTGATGAGCTGGTTTCAGCTGTGTAGTCGAGGAAAATTGAAAGCACCTGACGAAAGTCCAATGAGTGCATAGGTGACTGTGTCACTGGGGAAAGTGTCGTAAACTTTCACCCCGTAGTCAAGGCTAGGAGAGCGTGAGCCCTTAGAAAAGAGAGAGGGAGTTAATAAGACACTTCTATGTTGTAATCTCTCTCTCTCTCTCTCTCTCTCTCTCTCTCTCTCTCTCTCTCTCTCTCTTTTTTTTTTTCCTGCTATTGCAGTGTTCCCTGGTAAATACTAATTGACACTATCTTTTGATTTCTAATAATGCATACTCCGAAAGGTCATCAATACTATCTCATAAATACGATCAATAATATATCTCATCAATACGAACAATAATATTGCATTGGATATACGCTCTGCCTAGATTTTGTGATTGTCAATGTCTAGGCCTAGATCTAGATCTAGATTTAGTAGATTTGGAGGGCGGCATCTAGCAACCACAGAGCTGTCCTCTGCGCATATTCACGCTTAACGAACTATGACAGGTCGGCGGACAGGTACCGGAGTGTTCTCTACTTTCTCTCAGTCCGTCCCCACTATGTAAGGGGATGAGGGAAGAGGGGGAGAGAAAGGGAGAGAGAAAAAGGGAGAGAGATAGAGAGATAGAGAGAGAAAGAGAGAGAAATAGATAGAGAGAGAAATAGATAGATAGATAGATAGAGAGAGAGAGAGAGAGAGAGAGAGAGAGAGAGAGAGAGAGAGAGAGAGAAAGAGAGAGTGTGAGAGTGAAACACGGAAGAGACAGACAGACAGACTGTTGGACTACCTGACGACATTCCCTCTCTATCCACCTTTGTCCATCAATAATTTATATATAGTGACACCAGCATTCCATGTCCAGATGCTGTTTTAGCCTTGTTATTTATCTTTGGTCACCTTCTCTCACACACCTTCCAGTCCTCCACTTGAGGCTCCCTGTCGGTCCGGCTCATCCCCCACAGTGCCAGGTTCGCCGGTAAGTCCCCTCTCCGTTTTAGACACTTTCCCTCTCTCCAGTCACACCTTAGAACCCTGCAATTGAGGCCCCTGCCCGGCCCCTTCAAACACCTCGCCCCCCAACACAAACCCAGGGATCTGTTAGGTGATTATTACAACAGGCCCCCGCCATCCGTCCCCCGGCCACCTCCTACTTATGTACACACTGATCACCACTGTGCTATGGGTAATATAGTTTTCTGTTCATCATGTCTTATCACCAGAGATCAATTAGAACTGACGATCGTTGGCCGTGTATGCTTGGCCATTTGTTTATACTTGACAAGCTCAAAGTTTATATGAAAAGATATGTCTAATATCCGCCTATTGATGTCATTTTTTTCATGTTTATGTACATTTCACTACATTATTTTTGCTTACTTCCCTTTGTGATTGAATTGTTTACCTTGACTGGGAAAATGAAAGACATAGTGAGGGAATGGGGGGCGGGGCGGAGGGTGGTGTGTGTGTGT